TGAAGAATGTGATTCCTGTCTCCTCAGAACTCCCATTTTCCTAACACTAACTCACAATGTGAAAATATTGGCCCCACTGGCAGGATACCTCTTCTCTGCTTCTCATCAGCACCTGCAGTCTCAGCTCAGCTGCACAGCAAATCTGTTGTGCTGTGCTAACACAAAGTTTTGCCAAGGAGATACATTCTGTACAGAAACTGTCTGAGAGAAGGTAGGATCAGCTGGGAATGGACACCTCACTCTTCCATTCCATATGGAGGTGCGATGCTGCCATGCTGTTTGTCCACAGTGTTTGTGAGCGGTGAAGTGGCAGGTGTCTGAGGGGTGGGTTGTCATCCTGCCTTTGTCTTTTTACCTTCCAGAGTCACAGATGTCTTTCACTCTCCTTGATGACAAAGATTTTATGATTGCTGATCACTAATAAAGTAACTTCTAGTTTTCCCTTACATCTCAGACATAGCTTCCCTCCCCCTCATTGTCAGATTAATCTTGAAACTAATCTATTTTCAAACTGTTCTCTCCTAAGAAGGTGCTGTCGTTATTCTTCCACCCTCCCCAGCATTTGCTGCTGCTTTTCACACTAGAGATTGTTTCTCTCTTAACAGTGCTCTCAGTCTTGCACTCAGTATTTTAAACTGTTGCAAGGAATCCACAGTTTTCGCATTTAGAATGAGTAAAGTTGCTTTCTCTGCTGTGCCTCCTGCCCTCTCCTGGGCCATGGAAAGTCAGCATCTACAGAAGCACTGGGGAATATACAGAGAGGTTGGACCAGGCCTTGGTTAACAAGTGCATGTTCAACCGTGGCAGGGTTTTCATTCCATCCATGATACTTGCTCAGCCACCGTTGTCTCTTCTAAAACTCTCTAGTGTCTGAGTATTTCTTGCAGCAGGCTGTTCATAGGAAGAAAAGATGAAAGGTTTGTCTTCTCATTGCACAGTGTGAGTATGTGTATTTGAGTTATATCGATGTACCCACCGTGGAATAAGGATAGCTGGGGCAAGGATGGCTGGGGCAATCTCCTTAGGGTTTTGTTTCATCAAACAGCACCACAGAGGTAGAAATCAAATGGACCTCTAAATGAAAATACTGAATGGAAAATACTTGTTCACATCTTTTCTGTTCAAAACAAAACTTCTGTAGTCATAATGTACCTACTTGACACAGTTTAGCTGTCTGTGTACTTCAGCAGTTTGACTGCAGTCTACTGCCAGTGCAAGCAAAACGCTGACTTTTGTTCTGGGGCAGTTTGGAGTCAGAAGCAGGTACTAACTAAATATGGAAGAATGAGCAAAGATGAGCAAAGGTTACAGAATGGAAAGGATCACATGCTTCCCCAACCCATAAAATTCGTCCAATATTAAAGGAGGTGATTCTAATAATATGTTTGGTCAGCAAAAACTTAGTCCCCCCTGTGCCATTACTCTTACTTTCTGGTTGGTTTGTGGTCTGTCTGTATTTCAGGCTGGAGGAGATTCTTGTGATGTCATGAGACTATGGTTTATGTAGTGTTATGCACTGTATGGCACGATGTATGGTGGGTTTTTGAAAAGCAGTAACATTTTACCAAATGCTATTCTCTTTGCCTTCTTTCTGCTGCCCATGCTACTTAGGTCCTGCTACATGTATATCCTTGTAATAAAAACTATCACTAAGGTCTTTCAGATACAGTGTGGGTACTTGTAAGGCTAGTTTTTGTTTTTTGCTGATCAAAGCATTATCGGGAAGGTAAGAATTTGAATTTTACAGTGCTGGCAAGTGTTGGAATTGGAGGCCTTCATGAGGAATGAGCACTTTCCAGGGCTGGTCTGTCAGTCTCTGCCACTTCGATGCTGCAATCCTCTGCCAAACTAAATTGAAGCTTACTGAGAAACTTAACAGTCATGCAATACAGGAGTGTAGATGTCCACATAATAGAAATGCTAAAAAATGAGCTGATCAAGGGAGTAAGGCTACCTCAATGAAACATGAAACAGAAGGAGTTGTAGCAGTCTGCTACAAGAGTGTGACTAGAAGGATTACTTCTTTTTCCAGTCTGAAATTGTAATTTTGCCAAGGTTGTTTAGCTGCACTGCCATACTAATTAATGCCTCATATTTCCTGGCATGTGCTAGTGCTGTGCCATGCCAGTCTTACTTATCTTCTTTAATGAACATCTTTGAAATGTGTTTTGATGATGATTGTCTATATGGAGTATGATACTGGCAACTTCAAGTTTTTATTAACCTGCTTTGGTAAATGGGATTCAACTGAAGATATGAAAGTATTTATGTAATTGAGCCAGGCTCCTTTAAAGACCTGTCAAACACAGAGCCTGGTCATTAGCAAATGTGATGGGACCAGCTTTGTGACAGCAGAAAGAAGTAACCTGCTGAGAAGGAATTTATGTAGGAAATTATTATTTACTAATTTATTTAAAACCTGTGTCCTGTGCATGGTGATGATGAAGTTCTTGAATTCCTCTGTAGACTCGATGGGTCTGGAAATGCAAAGAGATGTGACAAAAGGAAAGAGTTTTACTTCTCCATTTTGATGTGCATGGTGTTTTCAGAGGTGGGGTATTTTTCATGCAATAAAAAATGCATTTTATTTTCAGGTAAATGTAAGGAGTATATCCTCTGACACCAAAGTATTTTCTGTTATAATGCAGTCCAGCAGTACAATAATGTAAGAAATGTAAATCCTGGTGGATTCTGTGCTGTTGCAGTGAGAACTTCCACTGACAGGGATGCTTCTAACTTTTTCAGGATTCGTATGCTGATTGATGAAGGCTATGAAGACAGAATTCTGATGGCTCATGATGTGCACACCAAGAACAGGTTGATGAAATATGGAGGTCATGGATATTCACATATCTTTAAAAATATAGTTCCTAAAATGCTAATTAGAGGCATATCCCAAGATAAAATTGATAAAATACTCCTAGCAAATCCAAAGCGGTGGTTGACTTTTAAGTAGGAATAATGAATAAATATACATGATTTGTAAGGAAGCTTGATAAAATTCAGATTTCAGTACAGCAGGTCTTAAAAAAAATGGCAAAATACTTAATAAAAAATGATTAAGTAGATGCAAATAAACTGATTATAACTTTTCTTTTTAATTACAACATCAAAATTGTGTATTGTCTCTACATTTTCTCCCTTCTGAAAGTTTGCTAATGAATGATTTGCTGAATATGAGCCTACCTGCAGAATCTTTTCAACTGAAATTTTAAAATAATTGTTTCAAAACCATAATCTAATACTGTTACTGAATGCTACCTCCAAACTACTTTTGAAGATGCATCACCTGGACTTGGAAGGAAATTATGGTTGTCAGTTAAATTTCCTGTCTCCAGCGTCTGATTTTAATCCTTGTAATACTGTCAATCTTCTCATTATCCTCATATTCTTTAAGTAATACTTGATAAAAGGCCTGGAAGTTTTAATTAGCTTCCATAGACGAGAGAAGGCAAGAGGAATCTCAAATAAATCTAAAAAGATAGTGTTTCTTTCTAGTTTAACAATTTACTTAATTGTAACTGAAAATGTAAAAAATACATGGAAAAATATATTTTTGAATAAAGCATTTTGATCACTTCTTAAACTATGTGCAGTATTACTACAGATGTCTTTTTCTAATTGTATTAGTTTTCTATCATGAGCTTGAAGTCTCACAGCAATCATGTAAAATTTGACACATACCAGCTTCTTTTTGTAAGGATGCAACACCAGCACTCAATATATATTACATAATACAGTTTTAATGAGTTGTAATAGTTATAACAAAGGTTGTGATATAAGTCTTTACAAATCAGTATATCAAGATATGATGAAAAAGGAAGAAATTTTTACCTTATATGTGGTTTTCACATAAAGTGTGTTCTTTGCTCTTGTCTAACTTTAACCGGGGCAGGTGATTTATCCAAAAATTATCTTATCCAATAGCAGTGGTGGCCTGATTTCAGAAGCTTCTTCAAAATTTGGCCATATATGTCTTGTAGTATTGAGCTTTACCAATAAACACCGTAGTAAATGCACACTGCTGGTTTGGATGATCTCTAGCTCTAGGTGCAGGACTGTAGGACACTACATAGGGAATCTCTAGCTACACTGCCTGGGAGTGCACTGGCCAGCAACAGCAACAGTGGAGCAGACAGACAAGTCAGGTACACATCTGTTATTAAAATAATTGCCTCGTAGAAATTAAACAGGAGTAATCACTGCAATGTACAGATAGAGGCTGGCACTTTGTCATAAGGTAAAAGCATGAACCGTCTGGTGAGATAATACACAAGCAGCTGGCAGCACAATGTCCCCTTGTAAACCCTGGATGAGTTTGCCTGGTGATCCTCTCAGTCAGCCTGGGCTCACTCGGCATTTGTTTTGAATTGGACGACTCCAAACAGAAGGAGTAACACATTCTGTTTAAGAAAAGGTTCATTCATTCAAACGAGATTTTTAGAGAGCTGTGAAAAATCTCTATCAGACTTTTGCTGAGTAGCCAGCACGGGAGAGCTTTTTTGTCAGAGTGGCAGACACTTTGGAAATTTTAGTGCAGACAAATCTAAGTTTGTACCCTCACTACATTAGACAAAGTTGCTTGTGACAGAGTATATGAAATAGCAATGTTAGGGGTAGCCTCTGTTACTCTTTAATGATTTATCAAAATGTTACCTTGATTTTGCCGAAAGGTTAAAAATAAATAACAAACTGTGCTAAAGAAATTTCATAATCTTGCTGAAATTTAGGTTTAGAATGAAATCTGCAAGTTTTAGTCTGAGAGAAACAGCTTCCCAAAACCAAAATAAATAATAATAAATTTTCTGAATTAAAAAATTCTGTGGATATTACTGCTATGACTGACTTTAAAGCATTTTTATAACTATTTATCTGTTTTTAGTTTAATTCTCCAAGCCATTAATCCTCTATATGGATTAGGCTTCTTTGAGACTTTATATATCTATATCTCTATCTATATGAATGAGAAAAATAGGTTTTAATGCACACTTTTTTTTGCATGTAAATATCTGCTTCTTTCTTTGCATATGTGTTATCATTTTTGGTAATATGCTTCTCTGTGTCCATCTCATAGGCACACCTTACCACAAACTGGTACTAGCTTCCATGGAAAAGGTCTGTGTGACAGCATTTTCTCATGTGTCAGGTCTCTTACTCTTCCTTTGTTGGAAAAATCCCACTGACTGCAGTGAGACAAGACACCTAAAGACAATTAAGGTTTTGACCCATTATATTCCTATGAAATTCTAGTGGAACGTCTGCAGTATATTAATCCATAACTACGTTATTAAAAATAGAACCCAGGTACAGACTAAGTGCTAAAAGACTAATGAAGAGTAATTGCTGCAAAGAAAACACTCTGCCTTAGTCTGATGGTGTGGATGCCAGGCTTTCTAAGTATTTACACAACTAACCATCAAGAATGGGCCTGTAATAATTGTCTAAATATATATTTACATGGATACAGATTAAAAACGATATCCCTTTTCCACTAATAGCAATGAGAGTTTTGTCATTTGCTTTGGTGGAATCAGGGATATGGTCCAATAGAATAATTTGTCAACTGTTTTATTTTTCAGGGGAAAATAGTGTTCCTCCTGTCTTTCTTTTGCTTTTAGAGGACAGCTAAGGGAAAGACAAAATTTAAATAACTCCCCTGGATTGATTTAATGTTAAAAGTCTAATGTATACCTACAAAGCAGGAACATTGAGTTAAGGCCTGAAGCTGATTAGTTTCTAGTTTTAAGTGGAAGGGTAAGAAAAGTACAAGGAAAACAATTTCTTTGCAGAGAGAAAGTATATTTTGATTACCTCTTCCTTTTATTGTAAAATCATTCCTCACCACACTGTGAGTGGACTCCAAGCATCATTGTTAGCAGGTAAGTCACAAGAACCAAAGCTGAAGTATGGATAAAGCAGCAAGATCATAACACATCAAAGTATCATATACACTGAAGAAATAACTCAGCGTCCTTAGGTGGGCTTTTCTTCCCTATAAAAATTTGCTCTATGTAGAACTTCATTCACATGGACACTAACAATGAGGAAGTATTTGCTTTGGCGGAAGTGGATCGCACATCTGTTTAACTTGGTTTGTGGTTTTTTAACATAAGGTTTCTCTGTGTTGTACAGATGTGAATCAGGTAGCATTCGACTTTTTCCCCCTCTGCTGAGGTGCTCGGTGTCACTCTCTGCTGGGGTGCTTGTTTCATTGACTTTTGCCACGCAAATCCATCGCTTAGAAGAGCAGGCTTCATTTCTCGACTGGTTTGGTGGGTCCTTTTACTCATTATCAGTCAGCATAAATAATAAATCCAGAAAATGTGCTGTATTTGTTGTTGTTTCCTCCATGTGCTTTTCCTCCATCTAATTTAATGTAAACTTCATCTCCTGGCTCCAAGTGAAGAACCACGCTGTTACTGGCATAGTCGTAGTTCTGATCTGCATCCTGAGCAATCGCACTAGCTCGAACCTACATAAAATACAGAATGACTGGTTAAGAAAACTCAGGCAGTTTTTCCTGCCTGGTGAAATTAAAGCATATCCTCAAAGTTTTATTCCACATGCATGAGTTGCCACTTTAAACATCTGGCAATGTATATCATAGTTTATTCCTATGGCTACTGCTTATTTTCTCCTACTGTAGTTCTGAAACTGAAGCAATAATATTCTCCTTTCTCAGTCATCTGATGAATACACAACTGCCTGATCATCTGTAGATGTCTGGAGCCTTTTAAAAAATATGTGTAAGAATAGCTAGAGTTGGGAGAACTGGATCCGATGGTGTGCCAATTTTACATTGGTGTAACTTTTGTATCAGTGGGACAAGTGATTGACAATGGTGAGGATCCACAGGGAGGCCCGCAGGGAGCTCCCAAGATGGACTTTTTCCAGAGGCAGTTTATTGTCTTACTAAGTAATAGGATCATGCTGCAAAAAAGAATACAAGAAGTACACCCCCCCCCTACACACACAAGCAGTCTGGTTTTGGAAAAACTGCTATTACCACATTTCAGTAAGCAAACATTTAATTTCACTGTGTTTTAAGAAATGCACTTTCGAAAAATCACAGGCAAGTCACTATTTGCTGTAAGAGGTTTTTGGAATTTACAAGTCATTGAGGGCTTTTCATTTGCAACTTTCCCTTAAACATACTTTTTTTTTCCATTTCTCCCTTGGTATTCCACTACTGATTAAATTTGACATTTCTTGCAAACTGGAAGTAATCTGTAATTTCAAGATATATGTTGGTTTCCAGCAATGAACAGCCTGTGCCATTGTAAGTCTCCAAATCATTTATATATAATTTGACTCTGTTTGGTAAAATATTTAAACATGGTTGCATGTGATTTATTTCAGTGTAACACGTCATCTGCTTGTTGCTTGTCTTTGTTCTAGCGTAGTTACAGAGCAGTAAATGATTTAGTGGCATTGCAAATCTGAACTAAGTAATAATGCATGACTTGGCGTACTATATGTGGGATTTTTTTCTGCTCTGAACTGAAAAAATAGGCTATAAGTCACAATTTTCCATGGATTCCTTTCAAAGTTTACATGACAAATTTCCAAATTAAATTTTCATGTGATATGATTTCACATTAATATTGAAATGTTAAAAAGGAGGGAGTTCTTTTACCATGCAGGATGTTATGGCATTATGCAGCTTAAAAATCACAGTAGGTGGAAATTCTTTATGCATCCTGTAAGAACAGTGAGAAAGGCTGCAAAGGCTTGCAGAACTGTGACAGGCTGCAAATTTAAACTGATACATGGCATGATGATAAAACCCGACTATTTCAGGACTTCTTGATCCTGACTTGCCTGGTATTGTTTACAGAGGTGATCTATTTTGCTAGGTTTTTAAGCAATAATTATTCTAAGCAATATTATTCTAATGTACATCTAAAGGATGTTTCCTTTGGAATAGTGATTGGCAGGGCAGAGTTGAAGGCTCTGGGCCATTAACCTGGAAAGACCTTCCAGAGAAAATAATGAACTGAGGTTGTTGCTGGCAGTGGAAATGGAAAGGGCAAATGGGCAGGAGTGAAAAAGCTACAGACAAGGTAGAAAAACTTTCACAGAGAACGAGTATCTTGCATACTGGTGAGGAAAATGGTTTAAAGGACTTTTCAAATTCCCAATTGCTTCCTAATGAAATGCTACTTTGTGGATTTTATACAAATCTCGTGGATGGCAAGGGAGAATCTGAATTACATCAGTGACTATCCTAAGAGAGTCAGCATGTGGACACTGGCTACAACAGCAATGGATATTTAATTTTTAAGATTCTACATAATACATACTGGATGGAAAAGAAAAAGATTCTAGGTATTGAAAGTCAAGAAACCAAAATGCAGGTCTTACTGCCCTCTGTGTAGCAGCAAAGGTCCTGTATGCTATCCTTAGTGGGTTTACCTTTTTGCTTGGTTAGCTAGAGCAATTTCTTTTTAAAGCCTAGAACAGTCTCAAATGAATTCTCAGTGACTGTACTGCTGCAAGAGGGTAAATGTATCTCAAAGCATTATGAGACAATACATTTCACAAGTTCCATATAAGTTCTTTCATGAAGCTACGCTCTCTGCCTGCTCACACATACCTAAGCTGTGTGACCTCAGCACTTCCCTGTTCAAGCTTGATAACCATTAAAGCAGACAATGTGGTAACACTGGGGACCTTGAAGTTCCACATATTTATTGCTTAGGAATGTTTGGGTTTTTTTCTTTAAGTCATATAGTTTTCAATGTTTCAGGTTTTTTCATTGTTAAGAACACTGGATTTATAATGTTGCCTTTGTCACTCCATTTAACTACTTCTAAAATTTCTGAGCTTCCTTACAAATATACATAAAGCCTGTCAGCATTTAGTATTTCAAGTATAAATCATAATCAATCATTGAGGCATCAAAACTGTGGGTCGGTTTTAAACCATTTATATGCAGGTATTTACCTAAATATCTGGTATAGTATATACAAATTGACACATGGAAGCTGCCTTTGGGTGGGTTTTTCTTTCTTCTTTGAATAACTATGAGTTTAATTTGTCTCATGTCTAGCACTGGAAGTACCTATATTTGGAAATTATTAGACCTCAAGTTCAATTGAATATTTGTAATTGGATTCTTCTTTTAAAACTACTGATATGTATTTATTTTTCACGGTTTGGGAAAATAAAAACTCTACAACATTATAAATAGGGATGAATGTAGATCAGTTCTGTAATTGTAAGTAAAATTGTATTCCTGCGGTGAACAATATTGCTTTTGTAGGAAGATATCAAAGTGAATATATTAGGATGTAGTTTGTTTTACTAGTTCTGGTTTATCTGCTGATACAGTATTTATGGTAGACTTTTTCTAATTTAATTAACTGCCGCTGATGTCCTCATTATTCTGTTTTCACAGTCCTTCTGAGGAGCCATAAACAAAAGGTTAAGTGGTGTATCAGATTAATTTAGTGGTCGCCGCCGCTGCCGTGTGCGCTGAGCACAAAGGGCCGCCAGCCGGCCGTGCTCGGCGGGGGAGGAGGCGCAAACGAAGGAGCTTTTCCCAAGCCGCCAGGCACGGCGGGGACACGGGGGCCGGTGTTCAGCGCTAGGGACGCGGCGGGGAGCCGATCCATCCCCAGCCCACCCCGCCGGAGGGCGAACAGCCCAGGGAGAGCGGCAGCGCCGGCTCCGGGCTCGCCGAGCGGCCAGCCCGCCCTGCAGCGCCGGGACGGCTCGGGCGCTGAGGGACCTGTTGAGCCGCCGGCGGGAGCGCCGCGGAGCTGCGGGGACACGGCAGCGATTGGGCACCTCGCACTCTCCTTGAGCACCCAAAGCCTTGGAGGCTGGCGGCGCCTCTAAGCGCATTAGGAATTAGTGCCAGCCTTAGTGTCTGTTAACTAAGCACGGAAGAGGCGCAAAATCGCGGAGGATGGCTCCTCGGGGGCAATGTTAACAGTCACAGCCACTGCGAGCATAGTGCCTACGTTTATTCTAATTAAAAGGGATGATTCCTCTGTATTTCAGACGGCAGCATCGCAAGGCCTTTAATTATTTCCGGTGTCTTTATCCTGCCCAGAGGCTGCCGACAGACTCGGGTCCTGCCCGGTCTCTCCGGACGCCCGCTGTGCTTCCTGGCACGGTCCGTCAGCCGGCGCCGGCCCGCCAAGGGCTCAGGTCTGCGGGCGCCGAGCTCTTTCTATTACCAGCTCTCCTAACAGGGAGAAGGAGCCTCGCTCCCCTCCGGGGGCTGAGCCTGTCAAACCCGGCGCTCCGCTGCGTGGGAACCGCGTCCCGTGCCGTGGCTGCGTTCCTCCCACCCACCTCACCCTTTCTCCACACAGCACCACCCTCTCCTGAGCTCACCCACCGCCCCTGGCTCCCGTTTCTTGCCGGGGACTTTCCCCTCCCCGAGGGAGCGCCGGGCTCTTGTCCCAGCGGGCAGCGCAAGCCGTCCCGTCCCGGCAGAGCTGCGGGCAGCGCTCCGCGGCCGGGGCGGTGGCCAGGGCAGGCCGGGAGCTGCTCTGCTCGGACAGCGGGCTGGGAGCGGCACCTGCAGCGCGGCTCTCGCAGAAGGGAGCGCGTCGAGTCCGCACTCACCCAGCAGCCCGGGCGGCCTCGGCTCTGCGCGGAAGACCCGGCCCCTCGGTAGCCTTTGGGCACCCGAGGCGGAGCGGGGAGGCGCTCCCCCCCTGGCCCGCTCCGCGCCGCCCGGGCTCGGGCTCCGCTCCCCCGGCACGAACCCGCGCTGCCTCCAGCGGCCGCCCGGCACCTTCCCCGCCCGCTGCCCGCCCTTCCCGCGCCGCTCCGCCCGCTGCCCGCACAGCGCCCGCTCCCACGGGGAATCCCCGCCGCCCGCTGCCCTCCTGTCCCCGGCTGCCCCCGGCGCGGCGCCCACCTGGTTGTTCTTGCAGAGGTCGGCCCACATGCTGGTGCCGTCGCCGCCCCGCATGAGCACATGGTAGGTGAAGAAGTAGATGCCGGGGATGGAGCAGGTGAACTTGCCGGTGGTGGGGTCGTAGTGGTTGCCGAGGTTGGTGACCACGTCGTCGAACTTGAGCACCTCGTAGCCCTCGTGCTGCCGCTTGAGGCCGGCGTAGAAGGCGATTTTGGGGACGGTGCTGTAGGTGGCGGCGCTGATGGCCCCCGCGGCGTTCAGCCCCGGCGCCCCGGGGGGGCCCGGCAGGCCCTGCCGCCCCGGCTCGCCCTTCTCACCCGGCGGCCCCACCGGGCCGGGCGGCCCCGGCTCCCCCGGCGGGCCCCGCGGCCCCGCTTTGCCCGGCCGGCCGGCCTCCCCCTTGGGCCCCTGGATGAAGGTGGGCAGGGACTGCATGAGCCCGCGGTCGGGCGTGGCCGCCGTGCTGGGCGCCTTGGTGCCGCCGTAAGGGTCGCAGACCATGCGGCAGGTGCCCAGCATCTCGTAGTGCGCCGAGGTGCCGGCCGAGCTGACCAGCACCGGGATGAGGATGACCAGCAGCAGCACCATCACCACCCCCAGCGCGCCGGCCGCGATCAGCCGCCGCCTGCTGCCCACCAGCCGGCTCAGCGCAGGGCGATCCTCTTGTCTGCTTTTGGACAAAATCTTGATGGTTGGCGGGGTTCCTCCTCAGAGCCGAAAAAAAGCCGAGCCCGCTCGAGCTCGGCTCCCCTGGGGCTCGGCCGCCCTCCCGAGGGCCGCCGGTGTTGCGGGGGCTCCCGCGGGTCGCGGCGCTCCGCTGCGGCCGCTGCAGCCGCCGGGAGGGCGAGGGAGCGGAGCGGGAGAGGGAGCGGGAGAGGGAGAGCTGCCGCCGCGCCCCGGCCGCCCGCACTTTTATGCTCCCGCTGGCGATCGACTTTTTTTTTTTTGCAGGCTGTGCCAGTCCGAGTCAACTTTCCCTGGAACTTGCCTTTCCTCTCGCGATCGCCCCGCTCGCCTCCTCGCTCTCTCTCTCCCTCCCTCTCTCTCTCTTTTCGCAGAGACGACAGTCCTCAGCGGGGACGCGCCTCCCGGCCGCCCCGGTGCCCGCCGCCCAGTGCCCGCGCCGCCGCGCCGGAGCCGGAGCCGGAGCCGGAGCCGAAGGGAGAGCGGGATCCTGCCCGGGTTCCACCTGCCAGGAGAGGAGGAGGCTGACGAGCGCGCTGGAGCAATTTATAGGCACCCAAAAGCGCAGGGGAAAGGGGAGCTGCTTTGGCATCTCATTCCAGCATCTGCTCTGCTCTTCCCACTCACAGAGAGTTTGGCATTACTCTGGCAGTGTGGGAAATATATATTTTTTTTCTTTTCTCCCTCCCCCACCCCTCCTGCAAACGGATGAACAGCGAAATCGTGAGCCTCACTCACTAGCTGCATCTTTCGATGACAGCTCTTTCTGAAGCAGACAGAAAGGAAGAGATGTGCTTAGCAGCCCCTGGGTACCCTTCAGGTCACCGATCGAGAATTAAAAGGTCAATCCACCTCTTGCTTAATGCTTCCCTGAGGCCACTTTGCCATGTTAGCGTTTTATGGGAAATGCCGCTTTAAATGCAGGGATGTTTTACCAATTGTCCAAGTAAAAGTTATTTGAAAATATACCTCCCACAATAATAAAGAGTTTAACGTATCTGGCAATTTCAGATCTCCCTCTTCCTCCTCGTCCCAATTGCAACCATAAAAACAGAGAAGAAAATAGTTTTTCCTGTGCATTAAAACAGACATACTTATCACCGACTACAGTGTTTCCCGGTGTTAAAGCCACCGCTGCTCTGCTTGCAAACTGACACTGAGGGAGTGTGTTCCCTTTTATTTAGAAGCTGAAGAAAAGTCCGGGGTATATGCAAATCGGCAGATGCCTAAGACCTGAGAAAAAGATCTCTTTGGCTTAACTCGGGGGCAGCAAAGCATTTTGTAAAATCTTGGAGGGTTTCTTATTTGTGGGTGGTTTTTTTTGTGTGTGTGTGTGGTTTTTGTTTGTTTATTTTTGGGGTTTTTTTTGTTGTTTGTTTTTTTTTTTTGTGAGGTTCTTTTGGTTCTTGTTTTTGCATGAAAGGCTTCTCCTCTCCCAAGGTCTGGTGGGCACCTCTGTGACTGAGTGGGAAGGTGAATGTGCAATATTAGTGGCATTGTTGCAGAGAAAATATTAAAGAACTTGTCCTGCTTACAGATATACAAGGTACACAAAGAGCTGTTTAAATAAACAAACAGAATTGATTCCTAAATCATACTTCTGTATTCAGGAGCAATGGACGTCAATCAAACCTGGGTGACATTTGCCTGTCAATACAGGGATGATGGCTGGAAAGAGTGTGACTTATTACAGCAAGGCAAGAATCAGAAATGAGCAACAGCGGCAAATAGGACAACAACCAAATAATGGCATCTCCAGTGATGATCAGAGGGCTGTGATCTTGTCTTGGATTTTATTAGCACGAATCTGCTCTCCCCTCACCGTTCTCTTTTATTTCCTTTCTATTCCACAACACAATAAGGTCAAACAAGCAGGCAGTGGGAAACAAAGATTCATTGATTCTTCCTTTTAAGCAGAAATGTCAGCAGCTCCTTTTGCTCTTTCCTGAGAGACTCAAAGGCATCGAGTGTGTCCATGCCGTGCAGAGATGGGCCAGTCCAGCTCCTTATCTCCCCAGAAAACTGTCGACAAAGCTTCCATTCATGCACTTGTAAATATTCCTCCCCCCCTCCTTTTTAAAAAGTTTTTTTTCTTTTCTTTTCTCTGATGCTCTGTCTTCAAAAAATTCTTTATCTGGCACTGACACAAGCTAGCCAGTTCCCTTAGCTAAGGGCTTCCCCTAAAGACCCAGGAAGGCAGTTGAACACACTTGGAGGATTATGTTCATATCTCATTGCTCTCTTCACCCCATGGGAAAGGGCTTTCAGCACTGTTTTCTTCTGGGCAAGAAAAACTGAAAAGATGTGCCAGAAGTGACTGCTCTGTCTCAGCCTGTAGCTGGGCCCTTGAGGTGTTGTATTTAGTCATCCCTAAGCCAGCTGGTTTTTGTGACATCAAGGGTGTGCATAAACCTTCATTGCAATGGCTGTGCTACATGTTAGGCAAAGAACAGAGCTCATCCTCAAATAAACACAAACCTGTCATAATCTGTGAAGCCATTTGTGATGCTGGGTGACCTATTGGCATCAAGCATGCCCTCAGTTCCTTACTCCAGCTATGATAAGCCTGAGTCTTAAAGTGAGGTCCTACCATACCAGCCACGTTTTCCTTAATAGTTTTATCCTCACATATACTGCCTGGGATACTCATTCACTCTGAACTGTTGCAGACCTTCTCCCAAAGAAGACAGCCACAAAAAATCACAGCCAGGGTAACCAGAATAGATAGATCAGGGCAAGTACTGGGTTCTCAGCAGAATATTACCTTGGTATATAAGCTGGGACCTTGGATTCAGTTACCAGATTAACCTTAGTTCCCAAGGAAAAGTCATATTTTCTTGGAAAACTAAGAATGGGAAACCAAGGTACTCAGAAGTTATGCACCAGCGGTCTCAGCAATCTGGTGCAAATTAAAAGGAAGAGCAGAAAAGTCTTTTTACTATGGGACCTTTGTTGTCCTGAAATGGTGTGTCAAAACATGGATTTGCTGTAATTAAGGCTCGGGTAGCACTTAGGTTATAATCTCTCCATGCTAAAGGCTGACATCCAGATTGACAGTCCATTCTTAGTAAAACTATTAAATGTATATGAGCTGCTGCCAGTCTTAATGTGCTAAATTTATTTGTATTTTTGAAGCCCTCTTGCTGGCTTGCTCCAGCCTTTCACTTTGTTTGCTCCTTTCCCATTCTCTCTGGCCCTGGTGCATTCAGACTCCCAGTTGGTGTTCAGGCTGTATCCCCTGCAGCCTCTGCCACTGGCAACAACCTTGCCACAGCCCTTACAGACTAATTAGTTAGTGTTCATACAGAGAGCTAAAGACATACAGCACAACATGCATGTTCATTTTACACATGTGCTATTGCCTCAGCACTAACACAGGGGAAAACTGCAGAAAACCATTCACAGATTCATCCACTGGCACACAGGGCAACAGGTTCTGCAGGCACCAAGCACAAAATGGCTCCTCATGCCTGTGTTGCTAAATTCAGTTTTCACAGGAAAAATACTCTGTGAAAAAGGGCAACCCTTTACCAACTCCAGTAAGCAGGAGTCACATGGAAAAAGGCATATGCCTAGCAAATGAGTGTGCCAATGCTGTGCCAAGCTCCATACTGCTTCTGCTCACTTCTATCTGCATCTGGTTTGCTCTGACTTATATTTTCAATCTCTTTTATTATTATTTTAGAGAAGTGTTTTGAATTTCAGTCTGCTAAAAAATTAAGGCTTTGCTACACTGTACTGTAATAAACACTGGATTAATTATGTACTTAAAGGTTAGCATTCAGCCTGAATCTCATTTATATGGTCAAGGGAAAAACATGCACTCATTCCAACAAATAATTAGGTTCAATGCTGTAAAATATAAAGAGGGAAAGATATTCATGTCAGTATAGCTGGCTCAAAGGTGCCATAGTGACAGATATGATGTTATCCCAAACCATCCTTAGTACCCTATTCCAGGTCTGTTTCTTTAGTTTGGTAAAATCAGCACTGGCATTTGTGTCAGGTAGCAAGTCCTGGAGAGGACCATGTCCTGCACCAGTTTTGGTAGGAGCTTGTACAGGCAGCTTTAACTAAACTCTCATAAAACCTTGTTTTGGTCAGGATGACTGAAGACCAAACGTGTTTATAGAGCTGCAAGATGCCCACTATATTCCTTATTAAAATTAGGATTTTCATGCCCATGGAAAGAATATCTGCTTTGGTGTGTAAAAGAAAAAAAATGTTTTGCTGATTTTTGGAAGTTTTTATCTGTCCTTTGGAACACAGGAAGTCTTTTCCCAGGCTATTCTCTGCTACTAAGGGATTTAAGCCATCTTTAAGTGTGATTGGAAATACTGTAGGTTAAGTTTTATTGCAATTAATAAAGCCATTAGAAGATCAGTCTCCGAATGCAAAGGCAGGAAAATGATCCAAAGAAAATGCATCCAGCCTTGAAAGGGTTACATCCACTTTTCAAATCCAAACGAGGAGGGAATTCGAGGAAGGCTGTCGCTAAAGTGACAGGGCTCAACAAGGAGAATTTGCAAATAAATTTGACATATTTCTCCCTTTTTAGTTTTTAATCTGAAAAGATCAGTCAAATATGACTGGTTACTAGGGGGAGGGAAGGGGTGAGAGCAGAATTACAGTGGAAAGATTGGAACCAAAATCATGCATGTCATGTTTTGACTGCTGAATTACCGCAGATATAAAAACAGAACTGTGTGTGTAAAAATAAATCTTAAACACATAGGCAGATAAAGATTGCACATTCAGCTGAAAAAGTTTAAGGATATAAAATAATCATATATGACACTTGATAACTGCCAACATAAATAGCGGTAATTAACCGTAAAAAATGCTCATAATTGCGAGTGCCCTTGTTTATTCAAAATAAAGCACTAGTTGCAAGCAAAAGAAAT